GATCTGACATTTATTCATGGGGAAAAAAATGATTTTTTAACCATATACTGTTATACCTCTATTTAGATATCTAAGTACTACAACTTTCACAGCCTTAATAAATGAGAGATGCATACACTACTACTGAGGTGTTTAGAAAAAGATGCTGGGGACCAGATCCCTTTTTGACCCCACTGACCATTCCAAAATTCCAGTGAAATTTACATACAACTTGTTGTGCTTTCTAAATGTTAGTACAACTAATATTTAGACTATCTGAAAAACAGAGTAATTTTTCCAAAAATATACTGTGGAACAGGATCACTAATATCTCTGAGTGACAAAAAATAATCAGTATGATCTGTGTTCTATTGTTGAATTAAATGATTCACACATATGGTCCTGCAAACCACAAGCAAGCTGAGCAATAGTCTGGACTGCAGATGTCTTCTATGGCTCTAAAATGACTAATGCCAGTGGAGTTCCACTATCCCCTCTCTATTTCATTGTATCACAGAAGGAATGCTGTATGATATCTCCAAGGATTTTTACTTTAAGCCTCAATTTAAAAAAATATGTAATTTGTTGGATGAAATCTGTCATCGCTACTTCCTTCCCAGGACAGCTCTAAAGCAAAGTTTAATCAATTCTATTTAGCCATTTTTAATATCCGAGAGAGAAAAAAATGAATACATGACAGTTGTTGCTATTAATAAAGGCCCTACATTTTTAGTTTCCACTTTTCACATTGTGTTCTTTCAAAATAAAGGCTATGAGGAGCTTAGGGTTGTATTAACTTTTCTGACTTAGAAAACTTATTTTTAAACATTTATTTTAACATTTCTGATGTTGTTAACTAAGACAGGTTGTATATGTATGCTCAAATATTAAGATACTATTGTGCTTGCTAACTCATGCATGTCTTGACAAGTTAAAAAAGCTGTTTAAGAAATAGAAGTTCCTAATTGCTTGCAAATCATAACACTTCCATACAGAGAAAGTAAGCTTTTCAGGTTTTTTGCAATGTATATTATGAAGACAACCAAATAGTAAACAGTTAAATTTATGTCTTTCATGCACTAGACTTGATACACTTAATTCTAGTAATTGTAAACTATATTTCCATGGATGCACATTCCAATCAATCTCTCACTGCTTGCTAGACTTGCAGCAAACAGTTTGCTCACATTAATAGCAAGAAAGTTATTTGTCTAGGGAAATGGTTATTGGAATTCTGCTTTGACTTTAGAGCTGTCTGGTAGATTAACTTTTCTTAAAATTAACTGGACTCACATACATTTCTATCAATTTGAGTGGGCAGGCAGTATAATAAAGAAGCAATGTCTGTAGGTATAAACAAAGGAGTGCTAAGGTCCAAGCATGGGCACTGGCACGTGGTCACAGATTTAGTTACATGTTTAACATGGTTTTTGAAGAAAAAAGAAAGTAACAAATTTAAGGGCATTACAACCCAGACAGTACTGCCAATAGACTGTTTAGATGAGAACATTGTATTTTGCAGGTAACAGATTTTAGCCACCTGAATGTAGGGCATATTGTGTAGGTTGTTGCCAGGGCTAGATAACAGTGAAGGACAACATTTTATTAATTTATGAATCAGCAAAATTTTAGTTATTATCAAAATGCTAACACAAACTTCTACTAAAAATTTGTACAGATGTAATTTTATTCTGGTGTTTTATTCTTTACTACCTCTTTTTGAAGTTTCAGGTACAAAAACAATATCCAAATACTAAAATATAAACTAAAATATATCTAAACTTTAAGACAATTGTGTAAAAACTTTGCTGTAGACCTACTGCTTCAACTGTAGCAAACACTTCTTGGTTTTAGTTTGGTCTTCAACTCCTTACACTTCCTGTAATCCATTCTACTTTACCTCACTTATTGCAACAATATTCTCCTTTCATTAACTACACAAGTTCTTGTTCAACTAATTATCCAACATGACTATTGTCTCCTTCCAGAGTTACTAAACTACAAGTCTTACATTCTGTAGCCATATAACTCTGGTCTTTATGCTTTGTTTCTCCAAGGAAGAATGATCTATTTAAATTTATTTTTCTTTTAAAGAGCCATCTGTGAGAAAACTTGGAAGCATCTCTTTGTTAACGCTTTTAACGGTTTCATAAGGTTGTCAATTTTAAAGGCTTTTTTATATTTTTCAATATCATATTTTAACAGGTATTTATTCCCCAAAATAGATAGTACAATTACATTGCTGTCATAGATAATGAGCCCAGGTTTGACTTAAACACTCCTAGGAAAGTTCTGCTAGAACTCAAGAGCAGAATTTTGTCTGTCTTCTTTGTGTAAATCTAGTAACTCAAGCAAAAAATAAGCAAGACTCTGATAGTCTGAAGGAATGTCTCCTTAAAACACTTTGTTATTGTTACTTGCATTATTACTTCACGGCAAGTTAATTGCTTACAAATAGCTCATACCTCCCCACATCCCCTCAGCCTGGGAGTTCCATGGGACTGAATGAAAATGCTTGTAAATAACATAGTTTAACAATTCAATTAGTGTTCTGCCAGGGTTCCATAGTTTATAATTTTTTCCCTCCGGACATCATGTTTTATATAGTGTGCATAAATCTATTCTATCTTTTTTACCATTGGAGAACTGAACAATTTCACTGTGGTAATGAAAAGGCAGAAGTTCACTGTTAGCACCAGTGTCACCTCTCATCTAGGTGGCTTTACTAACCAGTAAAATATAAAAGAGGATACAAATTTGGGACACTTGATGCCAGGATTCCCATACATTAATGTGACCAGTAGCCATACTGCCACCACAGGGATACTTTGAGTTCATTCCTAGTCAGTAAATTCCTAGGAGAGGGAAGTTTTTCATCTTGTAGTCCTTGCTTGAAGATGTTGTTCATACACACTGGACAGTTCTTACAACTTGCCAAGAAGGATTCGTCTCTTCAGGGATCCCTATGCATAGAGATGCACATAAAATATTTTGAGATGGCTCAGTCTGAACCTTCAGGCTATTAAAAGAATTATTTGTGTTTTACTTTTAGAGGTGTTTTAAGTTCATTTTTTTTTTCTCTCATAATATTTTTGATCACCTGCTATAGTAATCATGAGTCCTTTGATTTTAAGAAGACACGTATTATCTTCCTTATTCCCCCTATGCATGGTGTGTACTGTGCCCTCATATGCTCACAGATCAGTATCTGAAAGCAAATAAAACTTCCTATGTGAATGGTCACTTTTTTGGTAAACTAACTGATACAGTGTTTCATTTAAAACCTCTGCAAAATTTTCTTATAGACACAAATTAGTCCAGGATAAGAATTCAAACATGGACTTTTGTGTGAGTTGATTTGTCCTGTTTTTATATAATCAAGCACTATGAATTTAACTCTAAATGCAGCACACTGGCTAAGAGGGTGAGGGGGGAACCCTGCCCCCTTTCCAAATAGAGAATCCATCTGGAAATTCAATCCCTTTTCCAATAATAATATTATGAGGAATTATTACAATGCTTTGCTGCTTGATATTTATTACAGCATCCCCTCTGAATTTTTTTGTAAATTCCTTGCAGCTTCCTGAGTTGTCATCAGCAGAGAACTGTGCTGTTTTCTACCATGTGCACACCTACCAGTTTGCAACTTTTCTGAATAGCATTAGAAAAGTAGTTTTAAATATAAGAATGGTTATGTAACACCAGTTCTGTTGATTCATTTTCCAAGAACAATTCTTTCTATTTTTGGTATTTCACAATTTTTCCTGCTTATTTCACCCACAGATTTCAATACTAACACTATGCTTTATTTTTGTTTAAAAAGAATTTGTTAGACTCTAAAATTCTAGTGACACATCAAATTTAGCTTGATCTTATGTAATGCATAAGAAACTATACATAGTGCTTTTTTTTTTCCCGAAAAATAAAAAAGAAAATAAATGCAACCCTTATGCAATTGGCACTTGGGCAGAATTCCCTAGATCTCTAGGGAGTTATGGGAGAAAGAAGGAAAAACATGTCTGTATATCTGTCCCAACACCTTGGAATTGTGCTAAACCATTCAAAGGCAACATTTCCAAAGTGAACACAATATAGTTGTCACCCAGAAGGGAAAACATTCACATAAATTACTGAGATGAAAAGCAGCATGACCTATAGTTAAGAATTGAAAAGTGGGGATGATAAATCTTTCCTTTTATGTTAAAAAATGAACAAAATTAGAACTAGTCTAGCACTAAGAAGAGGCTATAAAGCATGCAAATACTAGAAATAAAATATGTGGATTTACGTGTCAATGTTAAAAAATTTATTAAGTGCAGATATTGAACAGAAAATGTATTATCAAGATTGCCCTGAGTGACACACATGTACAGGATGTCAAAATCTGATTCCTTTTATTTTTCTTTTAATTCAGGAACAAGGAAATAAGTTGGACTTTTAAAGTTCAGCAATGCAGCACATTTAGAGTTACTATTTCAATGGTAACTGTAATTTAGTTACCCTGCTACTAGCTAACCATGGCTTTTGATTAGTATGCCTGGTAAATTTACAAGATATTTTAAAACCCCACATTATTCTAATTAAAGTTAATAGGGTGTTAATAAATTATTTTTTTAATGAGAAAACTTCAGCTGATTACATTGCCATATGCTGAACATAATGCAGCTATAACTAAGATAAGTAGGTAAACAGACAAATATGTAAATGAAATCTATTACTTGTGAATTATACACAATACATATCCTACATGACATATAAGATCAAGCAATACACAAACTATTTCTCCCAGTACTCTTTTCAAATTCAGTAATTTCAATTAGTCTCATTGTGCAAGTTCCACTTTGGATAACATGTCATGGCATTCTCTTCCAATTCTATCAGTGTAAGAAGGTTGGTAGTGAAAGGACAATTAGACTTGAATATTACAATTGGCTTCAAATATGTGAGTCCTCACAGAATGCAACAAAAATTAAATTGGTGATAATGGATCAAAACTATTTTATCTTATCCAACATATTATCTTTAACTTCGGATAATATAAAAAGCTTTCAACTAAGGTGTCTGAAATATAGCATGACAGATGTGGATTTTTTTTTTTTGTTCCTACATTAGCTTTCATCCTGACCATAATGGTTCAAAAGTGACACAAATGTTGCTATTAATTAAACCCATCCTTGTACAGTCAATCAGTGATATCTCCAAGAGGTGTAGTAAAGCTGCAGATGATATCAGGACACATCAAAGCTCCAAGCACATGAATATGGCTTCATGCCAGGCCAGCATCAGTCTGGTAGGGATCTTTAGCTCAGGCAATGTATTAGATTCGAGAGCAGCTCTCTTCCAGAAATAATTTTTCCACTTTTGTATAGCATCACAACTGGAAAAATAAACAGAGTGAGACTGGAGCTAATGCTATGCAAAACAGTGTATTCCTGGAAACTGGAGCTTGGGAAAAAGCTGTACAGAGCCACAACTGGTGATCAGCTCTGGCCTAACACGGCTTATTAGCTTCAGTTAAGTAACAGTGATAACACATTTTCTCTCTCAGAAACATCTGGATGTCTCTGCTCTGTGCAGGGAAAGAAGTCTGTACACTGGAAGGGCTTGTTAAGCCCAGAGAAGTGTCACATGAATGCATGGAACCAGCCTGGTTCCAGCATTACCTTGGAGCTAACAAGCCAAGTTTGAACACAGAAGGCTTTGACACAAAGGGCAGAGACAGAGTATTTCTGCACTAATTAGCTTAAAGGCAGTGCTGGACCAAAACAGGTTAAACCAAGTTTGTCATGAGCTAACTTTTTTTAAAAGGCACATGAACATCTCTGCATGTTCCTAATGCATGCATCTCCCTTATCTATGTATGTCCCCTATCTTGGAATGATAGCCTCCACTTACTTTAAACATAGGATTTTTTTTCTAGTTGTTTTCTATGCTGGCATGTAATATGATGCACAATGTAATTATTATTTCCCTAAAATTATGGCATTCATCATGTAAGTTCTAGTTCTGTCGTTATTTAACAACAAAAGGTACTACTTATTTCCTCATAGTCCCCGCAGGTTTTCTGGAAAATTATGTTTCTACAGTCACAGTATCCTTATAAAATAACAATAGATGCTATTCAGTCTAAAATCAAATCTGAGTTTTGAGCATTTATTCTGCATAGATATAAATTATTTCCTATAATACATCAACACAGAACCTGTGTGAGATAAATCTGATGTACACTTGGAAACTAACATTAAAGATTTTTATTTTCCACAAAGCATGCAACTGGTGCAAACTCACTCTGTTGTTTAGAATTAGTTAAAAAATATGGAGCTAAGTTTCCTTTGGCAGACTCTGTGCTGAATCAGGCATACACTTTTCATGAACCATAATGCTGCTGTAAACACATGTCATGTCATATGTCATAAACATATGTCAGTTTACTCACAGGTAAACTTTTTAGGGTAAACCTCTATTCCCAGTTGTGCATAAAAATGTAAAGAGAGAACACAGTGAAGAAAAAAAAAGTTCATTTTTGTATCTTAGTCTAGATGTATCCTTGCTAGACTTAGTTCTGAGCGTTTATTTTTTTTTATTACCAGCTGTACCCACAAGGAACTCACACATGCGAGTATTGGCCACAGGGTGTCAGACCGAAGATCCACCTCCCCACAGTATATTGTTTTCAATAAACACCCAGAACGTCTTTAAAAATTCTGCCTGTACAAGCTCCTCTGAGCACTGTGGGTAGCCTGCACCACACATCCAGTGGTGCATGGTCAGGGATACAGCAAGGAGAGGGAAGCTGAAGAGGAAAGAAGGAAGGATCCTGGCTGCTGTAGGCTCTGCTTCAATCCTCATCATGCCGTCTGCAAGGACAGCATCTCTGGGTGACTTGAACTCATCCTTAGACAGCTTCATGGAGCAGCTGACATTGGGGGTTCTCTGCTCTGTGTCCCCTTCTTGAGCCTGGTATTCTCTTTACAATGCCCAGGGAAAAAAGGAACAGCATAACCTTCTCCTTAAGACTCTCCCATCCTCCAACTGTTTTCAGCTCCATGGATTTCCTGAGACTGTTGTTATTAAGTCTTTGTTCCCTTCCCCCAGCTTCCTAAATTAAATGCCTTGCTGAGATTTTTACTGCAAAGAAAACTGTGTTGCTAAACTTTGTCCTGATGAAAAATTTACACTAATTTTCTGCATTAATACTTCTGTGATCACAACACAGCAGACCTGCCTCTCAGGAAACACATTCAAATTATTTTTGTTTCAGTGCAGCTGGGAGTGGAGTACACAGTGAAGTGGGTTGGCACCACCAGCAAAACAGCTATCTTACAAAGCCAGATAAAGACTTGAGCTTAGAGTGGGTGGGTTTGGTTCAGCCAAAAAGATGGTAGAAAATCCTGGAGAATGCAGGGATGTGCATTCATTAGCCGACCACAAGTCGACGGAGAGGATACAACACTCCCCGTTCTCCTAAGGGCAGCATTCAACAGATGATTTCATGGTACCAAGCCCAGTACCTGGAACCCACCAGCAGAGATGTACTTGTTCACCTGTAGGTTTGACAGCTGAGCCACTGGAGCAAGAGAATGGCAAATCACGGCAAGAATAAAAATCCATATACACACAGGAGTGTGTTCTCCAGTATTATAACTGAAAATAGAACAATCTTTGGAAAAGGAGGATGGGCAGAGTAGGATTTAAAAGGAACACGGAAGCATATTTACCAGTCTGCACAACATTATGCAGTGTTGGTATTCTCACACCTGGAAAGTGGAGTGGACATAGCTGGGTGAACACGATAAAGCCAGGACACAGAGTATTGTTATGTCACAGCCTCCAACTGTGGTCAGCTCAGGGATTTCCCAAGTCATGGCTTGTGTATTTCCAACCTGCAAAGGGTTTCTTTCCCACAAACTTGCTTGGTATCCCCTTTAATTCACAGCAGTAGATTACATTCTTGGTCTGGATGATGCTAATTCTGTGCTTCTTGTTTATGCACTTAATACCGGCTTCAAATCCCTTTCCAAGGTAAGCAGTGCCTTCAAATCGCCTATTTACACACCAGTGCAGCACTACTGGCAAAAGTACACAGCACAAGCAGACCAATGTATTCCTATGGCAAGTAGTTTCTACTCGGAAGGAAGTAACTTTATCATGTTTTCTTTCTAACAATGACGCAGTGGTGCGTTTTCTCTTCCCACAACCACGTAAGCAAGCAGGCGACTTGAGCTGTCACCATTAACCTTTCGGACCAGCAAATCCTTTTCCCATCCGAGCCACTGCAGCCCGAGAGCTGCAGCTCCTGCCCCACAGCCCCGGCTCCTGCTCGTCCTTGCCCGGGCCCTTCCCGGCCGGGCGGGAGGAAAAGCGGCCCCGCGGCCTCGCACCGCCCCCCGCCCTCGCCTCGGGGAAGGGGGGCTGCAGCGGCCCTGAGCCCGCTTTTTGTTGGAAGAAACATTTGCCCATGGCGATGAGGAAACTCTCCGAGGCCGGGGCTGGGGGAGGGGGGATTTCCTTCCCATTGTCTGCCGGGCTCGGCGCTGCGGGCCCCCGCTCCCAGTGAAAGTGAATGGGCGGGAGGGACCGGCCGCAGGGCTCGTTAGACACCCAGCTGCTGCGGCTAAACGCGGGAGTCGGGGCTAGCCCAGCCCGGCTAGCCGGGAGTCAAAGCTGTACACTGACGAGCATTTAAAAGTCTTCACATTACATATAAAATAAGTCAAAACGAGACAAAAATGCATTCTTTTAATCCTTCAACGTGCATCCTGAAGGCTATATAATGCAAACAGCTACTCAGGGGACCTAGTGAGGATATCAAAATATCCCAAAACAAGGCCCATGAACAAGGCCCATTTGTAAGCTCTATGTTCATCTTTCTACACTTGATTTAATTCACTGCCCACCAGCTCAGCAAAAGTTACGTTGGTTATGGTTGCAGACACTCCCTACTTGTTTGCTTTAGGATACCTTGTTCTTTCCAAAAATCAAATATTTGTATCATGAAACAAATATTTGGAGGTGGTCCAGACTAGCCTTTATAAATACGTTAAGTACAGGAGATTGTTGGCAAGTGGTAGACTCCAGGTAAAACCTGCACAGTATGCAAGCCACAAGGCTTCTGCGCTCCATGTGTTTCCATGCTGGTGAAACTGCGGCCTAAGTATTTATTTGACAGCTCTCTATGGGTCCTGTGAGAGATAAAGGTCTAAAACCTCTTTATACTGAAGATAGCTGAACTTCTGCCTTAAATAAATATTTACATAGGTAAGGAGAAGGCACTGCAGCAGAGCAGTAAATCTTTCACTAGAGAAGCTGAGACTGGCTTTGGAGCTTTGTTTTGGAATTATGGCAGATCTCCCTAGCCGACCCAGTTGTTTGGGACACCTGGTTGTTTGGAGTTAAGAATTAAAAAATGGTTATGTGGCTGCTAGCTATGTTTGTCCTCTGATTCTCGATGTAAAAATGTCAGCTTTATGTGTCAGCTTAACAATGTCAGCTGGAGTAGAGCTATTGGCTTGACTGCATGGTAGAAACAGCAATAATTGTAACGACCCCAACTTCTTTTTTTCCCCCCTGTAGATAAATACAGCTCAGATGAAATTTGAACAGAAGGTTTCAAAGAAAGCTAAGACAGGCAGGCCAGCAATATCCCATGGAAACTTGGCATATATTTCTATCAAACTTTTGAAAATGACAAGCCTTAACAAAATCACAGCCAACATCACAAATAAACGCTTAACATAAGGTAGTCTTTTTGTTATTATACTAATGGTAAATCCCTTTTTATTTAAAAAAATTGCCTGAAAATTTCATTTGCTTTTTTATTAATACAAGCAATACAATGCAGTTAATAAATTACAGTACCACTATTGGGTATCTGCCCAACGCCTCAAGCACTTTTTAGAAGCAGATTACCAGCACTTTCTTTCCTACCTATTTATTTTAGAAAATGTAAAATGTTCTTTCATATTTAAATGCATAATAGAAGTAAGACTTTATCACAGCTGTGCAACTAACCATTATTTGCATTTTATTTTTGAAGTGGATGTAATGTCCTGATGCAGCAGTCTCGAAGAAACTATGTGGGTTTAGACACTACTAAATTTTATTTACTGGACACACTGGAGAAACTTTCACTGTTCATTGTGCAAACTCTGTTTAATCTTTGTCTGACCAGGCACAATGGATGCATCTTTTTTCAACATTAGCACTACTATTTCCTTCTACTATTTTAGTAATATTAATTACTACTCATATGACTGAATTTTATTGCATGCATAAATGTTTATATAAATAAGCTTGCAATATATTTTAATAAAAGTATATTTTAATAAAAGTAAAATTCTAGTCAAGTTAATTGTGTAGTGTGGTACTTATTAATTTAATAATTCCTGAAGAATTTCAGAAACTTTAGAATATATTTCCATATTTTTATCTCCATAAAAAATATAAATGTACATGTTTTTGCTATTTAAATATATATGTATATGTTCCTATAAAGTTACATATTTTGTATTAATATGCATTTCCCTACCCTGCAGTGCAAGTATGGCTAACAGTTGGACTCAATAATCATAAAGGTCTTTTCCAATCTAAATGGTTCTAAAATCTCTATGGTTCTGTGATCTGCAGCTCAGAAGGTATTGACAACCCTGAGACAGACTGCTGATTATCTATGCTTTAGTTTCTTTTGCTCAAGGTGAGTGTCTGCTTTCAAAACCATTATCTGTCATTTCTCCAAGTTGGACTTCATGATAGGAGGAATTTCCATGTATCAAGGCTGGATAAGCACCACATTTTCCCCCTACAACAAGAGACGGTCCAGACCTAAGAGTATGACAAAATACATACATAATAAATAGTTAAAGATCCGTTTCAAATGTATTATTAAAAAAAAAAAATAATAAAAGAAACAAACAGCAACTCCAGCAGACACCACTAGAGTTCTCCTTCTCCCAAATATCCCTAGCACCATCCTAAACCCTGTTTACCCCAGAAACCTGAACTGTGGACAGACAGAAGAGGAGAGAGAGAGAGAAAATTCAGACACAATAAAACTCTGAGGGGAAAAATATGTGGAAGGAGGAGGCAGCAGCGGCCTGGGGAAGGGATTGAAAAGTTTCCCCTGGCTTAACTTCTCCCCCCCTGCAGCAGCAGAAGCAGCGCCAGCAGCACAAGGTGAGAGAGACTTTTAAGTCTGGGGAGGAGGGGTGTGTGTGCGGGAGGGGGGGTGAATTTACAGCCCTGTGGATATTTCTGTGTCTGCCTCCCTGGCTTTGGGGTGCGAGAGACGCCGTGTCTCATGCTGGGTGGATTTTTTTTTTTTTTAATATGATGGAGGATTATAAACATGGCGCCTTAAAAAAACTACAAAATCATGTACACACTGTTCCAAGGAGATGGGGGAGAGGGGACAGGGGAAGGGCTGGGCATCAGGGGAGGGGGCAATCCTTCCCTGCGGGGTGCCGTATGAGGAGGGGGGAGCAATTATACTTAATAATAAAATGTGTGGGGCTGCGGGGGGGGAGATGGAAGGCGGGATTTTTTTATTATTATTATTATTTCATTTTTCGGAGTGGGCAGGATTATCTGGCAGCCCGCTTGGAAACCGAGGAGGAGAAGGGGACGGCGGCGGAGCGCGTGTGATTATTAACGGCGATTATTTTTGTCCCCACACCTTCCCCGGTCGAATTTCGGCTGGGAGGCGGCGGCGGGTCCTCCGCGCCCCCCGTGCTGAGNCGGCTGCGGGCGGTGCCACCCCCGCTGCCTGGATGGCCTCGCCGTCCGGCGGGGCACCGGGGACCCTGCGTCGCCTTGTCCCCCGGCACAGCCCCGAGGGCTTCCTCGCCACCCCCGTGAGCTCCGGGGCAGCGCCCGGGTGGTAAAAGGGGCAGTTTCTCCGCTCTCCCCCTGCCCCCGGCTCCCTGCGCCCTCCGGGGCAGTGCCGGGAAAGGCCTCCCGGGGCTGCGCCGGACTCGGCGGGTCGGGGAATCGCGACGGGCTCGCTTTTGTTTGCGTTGTGGGGGTCTTTGTGCGTGTGCACCCCCAAGCCGTGTCTGCAGATAACTGCCCTCGGTGCGCTTTGTGGGGTGTTCGCCTTCACCCCCTCCCTCGGGGCTGCTCAGAGGCCTGTCTCCTCTTTTTTCGGAGAAAGGATGGAAGTGTAGGGTGTGGGAGTGCCCGTGGTAAGGATGATGGGGAGCTTCGGTGCGCTTTCTTGACCTTCCGTGAGTTCCAGACAACAGCCCCCCTGTAAAAGGCTGATGTTAAGGATTTGTGAAACTTTGTGGGTCTTTTGGGGCTTATCCTGAAACCAGCAGACTTTGGGAATTTGTTTTTGGTCTTCTGTGAACTTTACAGATGCTAGAGATGGGGTGGTTTGACAAGACGAAAAGGAGTGAAAAAACTTTAATTTGGTGCTGTTTGATTTTATAATTTAACGTGGAAGCATCTGGCATGGTCTCTGTATTGTAGGAATAATTCTATTTATTGTAGTTTTAAGAAGATCTTATTGCAGTAGAAAAGAGTGGGAAATGCTTCCTTATCCTACTTAATGGTGATTTTTTTTTCATTTCTCTTGGCTTTGTAGGAAATTGTTTAATTCTTTAGGGGTGAATGCTGAGACAGGTGTGAGGAGGGGGGAAGATGGGAGGGGAAATGCCAGTTTGTGGTTCAGGTTGCACTCCTTTGGGTTTTTCTAGTTCCTCATCCTTCTGTATGAAGGACCTGGCATCTCTCCACTTGTTTTTTTTTTTTTAATTATCAACTACTCTTGAGTGTGTCTTTAGGAAAGTCGACTGTTTGCTGACTAATGTTTTATATAAAAGTGGAAGTGCCCACAAAATAATTTCCATTTTTATGGGATTTATGGCATTAATTAATTCCCACTGTGGATTTATGGCCTTAAAATGCCAGCTTTTCCATGTCTAAACAAACCGTCTTTGCTTTGGGCAGATAGTTGGATGGGGAAAGGAGGAAAGGGAATGGTTCACGGGGTAGGTCAACAGAGAGCACTTTATCTTGCTGATGGTGAGTTTGGTTTTAGTGAGTGGGGAAACAAAAGTGACTGTGTTGATGGCTGTTGGTTGTGCTATGGAAGGCAGTCTCTGCATCTGCAACTAGTACTTGGTATTGGGTTCAGTAGCAAAGGTCTGAGTGAGAAAAATGACTCTTCCTTTCCACCTCATGAATTGGATAATGTGATGGAAATTGTCTTGTGTTGAAGCCAACTTTGTAAGGGGAGTCATGAGTCTGTGGTCATTGGGAGGGGGTGTTAAAACTTTGCTGATGTGAAAGAAGACACTTCAATAGTTTGAAGCTTTGTAGCAAAAATTTTACAGGGTAGTTCACTTCTAAAGGTGTTGGTTTTTTTTGTTTTTTAAATCTAAGCAAGCACTTGGCAGGTATTAAATATAAATATAAAAAAATCAAGTTGAGTTTGTTCACCTGAAATCAAAATTCTTAATAGCTTGACATAGTCCTTCTGTAGTATGAGCCAGAGCAATGCTTTATAACTTCTCAGAAAAAAAGTGAGCAGTATTGGAGTGACAAGAATTTCTTACTGGAATTGCTGTGCACACAATGTGTGACTGGTAGTTTGTGTGCTGTGTGTCCATACTGTTTGCAGGCAGTAGGCATTCTGTGGGCATCTACTGTTCAAGTGTCCTGGCTTTCCCCCTGCCTTGGGAAGGGACTGTTCAGGAATACCTGAGGCTTCTGCAGCAGAAGTGCCTGGGTCGTGTTTTTGGCCTAAGGTCATCTCAAAAGCAAGTGAGATGGTGAAAGGCTGTGAAGTGTGTTTGGTATTTCTGCCTGCACATAAATAAAACATACTGGATGCTGTTGGTGATGTGGTGCTCCCTGAGCAGATGAACTATAAATTTGGCCTCAAACTTACCTTAAAGTGGCTCAAGCTCCATCTAGACCGTTGTGCATTTCTAGCAGTGCACCACAGCCTGGGAACCACTGAATTGTGTCATCTGCAGTCACTGGGTTAGAATAAAATACCTCAAAAGGAAATGGATAAAAGATAACGTTGAAGATGTTTTCTTCATTTTAGGCATCTAAATGTGTCTGTAGATGCCTGCATTATCTAGTTAGTTAGCAAATCGTCTCATTTCGCACAGTTGGAGAATGAGGGGGAATTTTAGAGTTAGGAGACATGTTTTGAAATTGAAGATCCAATTTCAGTCAGCTAAAGTTCACAAATTTTGGACATACCTGTAACTAATTTTCGTAGTAACTGCCTTCCACAATCTTTCAGAGCATTTATCTTTGCAAGTGTGTGAAGACTTCAGGCAGTGTGAATCAGTCCAGGCTAAAAGTTCTGAAAGAGGACAAGGTGATGATGAAGATGTCTTCAGCAAATTTCTAATTTGCTTCTTAAATGACTTTTTAGCTAGATACACAAGATTTTACTTTCCTGAATGAAGTAGAGTCTGGAGATCTTTTCAAAAGTTATGTCGGAATTGTTGGAGCAATTCTTTTTCTCATATTTATCCAGCAAATAAATAAATTTGTTTCAAATTCTGACCACTGATTTTATTAATTGCAGTGGTTTTCCTTCCATATAATAGGACTTTGTTCAGCCATCCTTGTTGCTTTGATTGTTTAGGAGGTGATGTAGGAACATGTTCTTTTTCTGCAGAGGGTTTTGTGCCTTGTTTTTTGTTGGGCTTGTTTAGTCTCAGGATGTGGTGAACACTCCCATAGTACTTGTGTAGTACCTGGAGCATGGTGCCCTTGGTAGCTGGGCAGTGCAGTGTATGTCATCTTTTATATAGCTCATACATTTTAGGCTGTCAGTGTTGCTTGTGCTGAACATTGCGAACAAAGATTATTCTTGTCAGGTTCTGGATCATTTTTCATCAGTTGAATGTAAATTTAGCTCATAATTGGGTTATTGTTCTAAGGTTTAATCTTCCAGTCGAGAGAGTACAGGCTACAAAATAGGTAGTTTATAAGATGACGTAATGACTCAATTTTTCAGGATTTTTTTCATTTGTTATTGGTGAGGGTATATGAAATGCAAAACAAATGTGGAAAACTCCACAAAGCTCTTCATTCCTGGGTGTAGTGGAGGTAACTGATGGATACCAGTGGCTGTGTACAGTACAATAAACACTGTGGCCTCAAGCCTGCACAGGTGTGCTCCTGTGGCACTTGGGGCCATCTGGTTTCCAAGGCCTCTCCACATGCAGCTCCCAGAAACACAATGGCTGGATTGAGCCCATTATTTTTTTCACCATATTTTCAGTTGTAGTATTTAAACATAATTTTATAATCTCTTTGAACTAATGTCTGCCATCAAGTAACTTGTGAAAGCCTGAACTCTTTTTATTTATTTCTGTCAT